GGATGCTCAGAGAACTCACTGACTACAGCAGAAGCATAAAGGAAGAAATGAAGGCTATACTAAGTGAAATAAAGAAAAATCCACAGGGAACCAACTGTGAAGAGAAGGAAGCCAGGATTCAAATCATTGATTTGTAACATAAGGAAGAAATAATCAACCAGAACAGAATGAAGAAACAAGAATTCAAAAACAAAAACAAAAACAAGAATAAGAAGACAATGAGTAATCTCCAAAAGTGCCAACATCCAAATCATAGGGGTGCCAGAAGGAGAAGAGGAAGAGCAAGAAACTGAAAATTTATTTGAAAAAATAATAAAAGAAAGCTTCCCTAATTTGGTGAAAGAAATAGATGTACAAGCCCAGGAAGCACAGAGCCCCAAACAAGATGGACAAAAAGAGGACCACACCAACATCATACTTAAAATGCCAAAGGTTAAAGGTAAAGAGAGAGTCTTAAAAGCAGCAAGAGGAAATCAGGGTTACCTACAAAGAAGTTCCCATAAGACTGTCAGCTGATTTCTCAAAAGAAACTTTGCAGGCAAGGAGGAACTGGCAAGAAGTATTCAAAGTGATGAAAAGCAAGGACCCACAACCAAGATTACTCTATCCAACAAAGTTATCCTTTAGAATGAAAGGGCAGATGGTGTGCTTCCCAGACAAATTCATCATCACCAAGTCCTTATTATATGAAAGGTTAAAGGGACTTATGTAAGAAAACATAGAAGATCAAAACTATGAACATTAAAATATCAACAAACTCACAATTATCAACAACTGAATCTAAAAAGCAAAAACAAGCAAACAACTAGAACAGGAACAGAATCATAGAAATAGAGAACACATGGGTTATCAGTGGGGCGGGGCAAGGAGGAGAATGGGGGGAAGTGCAGGGATTAAGCAGCATAATTGGTAGGTATAAAATAGACAAGGGGATGTTAGGAATAGTATAGGAAATGGAGAAGCCAAAGAACTTACATGCATGACCCATGGACCTGAAGTAAAGGCAGGAAGGGTGGGTTGTTGGAGGGAAGGGGGAAAGGTGGGACACTGGGTGGAAGGAGGCAAAGGGGGGAAAACTGGAACAACTGTAATAGCATAATCAATTGAACATACTTTAAAAAGAAATGTGTTCATTAATAGTGAAATGTATTCATTCTGAAGTACATGTCATTAAGTATGGAAAAGATACAGCTCCTTCTCAGGCCAAATTCATGTTTCTCTGGATGAGCATGTTTGCTTTTCTGCTTAATAAATATATTGCTCATTTGCCATTTGCTCAACAAATATGCTTTCTAGTCTGCACCAGGTACCATTTTATATATAGTAGTGAATAAAACAGATGGAGTCTCTGCATTCATGTAGCTTCCTTCCCTTCAAAAGGAGAGGACTGTGAGGGAAAAGATGTATTTGTGCGGATATGTTGTGTTGATGATGCTAAATGTTAAAAATAACATTGAAACAGGGCGGAGGGAAGGAGGTATCTGTGGTGGAGAGGTTCTGCTGTTCACACTGGATGGCTGGGGAAGCCTTCTCTTTTAAGGCTAACATTTGAGCAGAAACCTAAAAGAACTGAAGGAGCAAGATACATACACACATGTGCACACGGAAGTGGTGTATCCCAGGATATGGGGTCTCAAAGCAGGAGTATGCCTGGCAGGGAAGGGAGTGGGGAGGTTGAGAGCCTAAGGTAGTGGAGGGCCGGCACAGAAAAGGCCTTAGACATTATCATGAGGACTTTTCATTTTATATTAAGTTGCAAAGCCCTTGGAGGTTTTGGGGAGAGAAGTGGTATGATCTGATTTGCTTTTAAAAGGATTACTGGCTGTTGTGTTCCACATGGACAGTAGCAGAGCAAACGTAAAATTAGACAGGTTCAGTAGTCTTGTTGAGGCATGAGTGCATATGGCCTGTCAAAAATGCTTCCTCATAATCATTACATTGGTTTTATAGTTCTACTTACTGGGTTCTGGAAATTATTTTTATTCAGCTGGTACTTTGCTCAAATACAGCTTAAATTTGTTACAGTAGCAATAGAAATAATTTTCTAAATGTAATGGAACATACCACTGTTGTAGCTTGGTTGATTACCAATGGAAAATGATGATACCTTACAATCATAAAGTGTTTGAAAGTTTAAACAGCAGTTTTTATTCGTTATTTCATCTAGTCCTCATAGTTTTTGTAAAGGTTGCCACAGTGGCTATTATCTCCCTACAGAGGTGGGAACTGAAACATCAGATGCCCACTTTGCAGCAGGGCACCCAAATAACTAAAACCCAGCTCTTCCCTGCTCATCTGAATCCACTGGATTTGTTCAGAGGGGTCTGTTACATTCAGGATGTCTCAAGATGTTGGTAGGGAGTGGGATACTTAATATAGCAAATTTAGTATATTGGAAAAAACATCAACTAGTGAACAAGATACTATGCTTGGAAAGGATATAGTCAAAGATGTATAAAGCATGTTCCTAACCTGTGAACTTACTACTTAGGATGGTTACACTTATAACAGTAAATATGATAAGTGACTACTAGTTTTAAGAAAATATCATGTGCTCAGTTTCAAACAAATGGTACAGACAGTAAATAGTAAATGTTTTACAGTTCAAAGGAAGCAGTGATTTTAATGGCCAGGGTAGTTAGAGCAATAGAGGGGCAGGGCACCTGAGTTGAAGAATGAGCAGGATTCAGTCAGAAAAGATTGAAGGAGGGCTTCTAAACCTGGGTTGGGGGTGGAGGGAAGGAGAGCATGTAGAATGAATAAAGGCTTAGAGGTGGAGTTTTGGGGGTTGTTTGGGGGTTGTTTTTATGAGGCAGTGATTAGCTGGGTCAGAATACAGTGGTTGGTTTGAGGATAACTGGATGATTACTACTTTGCATACATAAAATATTCCTGAAAACTATGCTGAGAGGTGAATGCACATAAGTCATATAGGTGAGTTAAACGAGATGTCAGAGGGCTGCGGAAATCCAGTGAGGTTCTTATTTACACTTTGCCTCTTACAGTATAATCTAGCAACTTTATGGCTTTATTCTGTCTGTCTCTATTGATCCTCTGAAGTCAAATATGTGTCTGATTAAAGCTAAAGATTTGTTAATTTTAGCATAACTTGTGATTTCCAGTCAGCTCCTCCCAGGAGCTTAATATATTCATTAACTGTGTCCATCTGATAGGGTGGCTTAAGAGTGGTTTAAGGGTGTCAATATATCAAAGAGCAGATTATCAAAAAGAAAAATATTCAGTGTTGAGGGCCTATAGTGAGAATTAGGTTTGGAAAAAAAGACCAGGCTATGCAGAGTCTGACATTTCTTTCAGTTCTACAAACATTGAGCGTCTGGTGGCTATCTGTGATTTGTATGTATTGTACTAAATACTGGGGCACATTGAAAGCATAGTCCTATTAAGTAGTTCACATTCTGGTGGGGGTGGGGGGAGTGTCAGAGAATATTTAATTTCCTCCTCAAGGAGAGAAATGATGTAGTGAAAGTTCTGTATTTAATATATTGGTGTTGTAAGATTTATATTGAAATTGGGGGAACTGAAGGCAGAAAAACAGTTAGTAAAAGAGCTTGCACCTCTGCTCGTACTCAGAGACCCCGCCCCCCAAAAGGAAGTGTACAGTGTATTATCTGGAGGGCAGGCTCCAGAAGCATGTTCCATATCTACCTCCTGATCAGCAAAACAGAACCATCCAACTGGAAATCACGTTGTTTGTTTGTGGTTTCCATCATTTATTTTCTCCTCTATTGAACAAACACTTATTACCTGTGTGCCGGCACCCTTCTAGGGCCGGGAACATAGTCATCAATAAAAAAGACAAAGTCCCTGCCTTCGTGGAGTTTCCATTCTGCTCTCTCAGGCAGCACTAAATAGCTAATGTATGAGAAAGTACCTAGCATATTGCCTGTCACATAGTAGATAGGGTTGAGTGGTTGTTAATTACAGAGTTTGATCTTGAAGTTTGAATTAAGTACCCACTCTTGACAGGCTACTTTGTTGGGACCCTTTTGCAGAATAGAGGGGAGGAAGAGATTAACTCATCTGCAGATTTTTTTAAAGTGTTACCATTAAAAAGTACGCGTCCCTTATTCAGTTTTGGGGTAATTAAGATTATATGCTATATTAAATATAACAAGTATGTTCCTGACCACTTTCACAATTGAAGGTGAAACTGTGAAGCAGGTGCTGTTCTGTGCCATCAAAGCAGTGTGCGCCTGTCCTGCTTGGATGGTTTTTGTGGGCTCCCTGAGTTCCTGAAAGGGCTCATTGTTGTCACTAACGATGCTTCACAGAAACCCTTTGTGTCATTATTTAGCAACTGACTGCCTTGGCAAAAGCTATGTCAATTCTTTTGTTAACTGTAACAGCAGTCAAAAACGAGGTAGGGGAAGAAAAGGATAAACGAAACAAAGACTTTTAGGTGTGCGCGCACACACATCTCTTAGATCAATTTCCAAGTGTCATCTGGAGAAGCATTTGTCACATAAAACCAGGAAAAAGCAATACTGCATTTATTTTTTTCATTGTTTTGTTCAGCTATGACTTGTTACCAGCAACATACGGATGCCTTTTTTCCTTGTTGGCTTCCCTTTGGTCTTACAGTTCATTAAAGGGGAGTAGTAGTTTCATACCAGGAGCAAAACAAGCCCTTTTGTGCAAATTCTTTGCAAGATTACATTTTCTTTTCTACCTACTTTTCCTAAGAGGCGGGGAATAAGATGATGGGTGTATTTACTGTTGTTGGAAGCCAAGATTTTTGACTTTCATTTGAAATAAACCCTTGCTTCTATGGAAACCTGAAATAGTTGGAAGTAGAGGAGTTAGGAGCTTACATTTATTTGCCTCCAGATAAAATGCTTAGCATTAAATTTGTTACTAGAACTCCAAGTTGAACATAGGATGTCATTGCTGCAATATAACATGGTGTGGGTGTGCTTTATTTTAGAACAAGCACTGTCAGTGTGGAATTAGTTATGTGGACTTTTCTCATCCCTTTTTAGATGTGAAGCCCTCCAATATGCTGGTTAACACAAGAGGACAGGTCAAGCTGTGTGATTTCGGAGTTAGCACTCAGGTAGGTCTCTTTTTCCTCCCCATCTGCTCTCCTCTCCATGACATCCACTTTTTATTTTCAATCTACTCTCTGGATTGAAAAATCACCTAGCTGCCAGACAAACAGAACTCTGCATCTTCTCCTCGGCTGGGAGTGTGTTACTCATTTTTAATCTCCAAGCGAGTTTCCTTCATCAGAATATGATTGTTCATTGTTTAATGACAGTAAAAACCGCTGATATTGTAATTACTACTTACGAATAGCAAACTTCATTGATATGCAGCTTTGATATGAAAGCGTTTTGGCCAGACAAAGGGGAGGGCAGAGTGGGAGCGGTGCCTGGGGAGCCCAACTGGCCCACAGTAAAAATTAATATTGGGAGCAACAATGGTGGAGGGCCATTACAATGTGCAGCACAAATTTTAATTAATTTCCATTTTGGGCCTCCCCCGAGAACCCCGGTGATAGTGACCCATGAGCGTGCTGTGATGTTGATTTGAATTGCAGCCACCTTTACTCCCATCCAAACACGAAGACCAAAGCGAAGGTCATCGTTGTATTATGAGTTGTCAAAGTCTGTTATCCCTCCAGCGTATTTAGTGTTCGTCTCATTCTAGTAATGCGTGGGGCTGCCTTCACATTGTGAGCCATTTGACTAAAACATGAGTGTGTTCAAATTCTACTTCAAATTGACTTTTTATATACCAGGCGGGCTTGGGGTACTAAAGCGATAAGCATCCTGCTTAAGTGGTTTGTTTAAGGTTATCTGCTGTAAACTGTAACGCTGTGCTTGTTTAAATTGGAAATCACATTCAAAAGGAAAGGGAGATTTAACCATTTTTAATGCCTTTGCAGATAAATTTGTTCCCTTTTACACAATTTTTAGTTGATTTATAGAAATGATGATTGTAGGTTAAATGAGGAATAATTGCCCATTTTATTTCCACATTATCTTTATATTGTTCTAACAGACTGTTTTGTCTCGTAGCTGGTGAATTCTATAGCCAAGACGTATGTTGGAACAAATGCTTATATGGCAGTAAGTAAACTTATGCAAAAATAACATTTAAAACCAACATCTTTATGTACTTGTTAATGTATAATTCTTGAATTAATTCCACAGCCTTAGCCTTGTTGATCATAAATTACAAAGTCAATTCAGTCATGATTCGCTTTTTAAACCTTTCTGAGAGACATTAGGATTTATACAGGAGCTACAAACTTATCCGACTTTGTTGACTTAAATGGTTGGCTCAAGTGTGAAATCGCTGAGTTTTGAAGTTTAATCCAACAGGAAAATTGCACCTTACAGCATATTGGCTACTTTGCCACATTGCTTATTTAATTAACCCTCAAGTATACCAAATTGTCAGTCAATAAGATTGGTTGTTTTTTCCAGGAGTGCAAACATGCTTTGTCACCAGATCAACATTAAATTATTGATGGGACCAGCTCTTACTTATGGATCTCTGACTATAATGGTTTAGCAGTCAGTTCTCTTTAGGACTTACACATCTATAGTCTGTGTATTTGTTGAATTCCTGCCTACTACAGGATAACTTAGTTAGTTCCACTGACGCAAATTTGCCAAGAATAAAAAGTAGAAGTATGGAACTGTTTCAGTGACCAACGTGGACTTGGCTTTGACCTTTTTCATACCTTTTAAGAAAGGAAGTTATTTGTGTTCATAAAAAAGTTTTTGTTCATTGATTTCCACAGTCACATCAGGAATTGAGGGTCAGGGAGAGACAAGCAGGAAGTTTATCTGGTATCATTTTTGGAGCAAAGTTTTAACATCTTAAGGGTTTTTTAAAATTAAGGAATAATAAAAAAATTAATTAATGGTTTTATATTTTATTCAGATAGCCTATTTCATTTCCAGTAGTTCTTCCATATATATCATAAACAGTGTTAGTACAGATGGAACCCAGGATTTTGTTCTCAGCAACCTTTGTTCATATATTATCTTGATAAAAAGATCTTAATATGGATGGAACCCTGGATCCTATTCTTGAATGGTGCTGAGCATTTTCTTTAAATTGAGGTACCAGAGTAGTTAATTTGTGTCTTACATCAATTTTTAAAAAAACATATTCTTTATCATTTTCCTAGATAATGTGAAAAATATATATATTAACCTCTGAAGTCATCTATGTGTTTTATAAAACCTAATCACTTTTCTGGCCCTACCAGGTTAGCAGAGATTGGTGAGCTACCTTCATAACGAACAAAACCCCGCAAATGCCACAATTTCAGTCTTTGAAAGAATTTGGAACACTGTGATCTTAAAAAAAAAAACTATAAATGAAATAACTTCTCAAATGCCCATCATGTTCTTAGTAGTTTTAAATTGCTCTAGTAATTAAATTGCATTACATTTGAATGTACAAATTCAGATCACAATTGTCTTTCCCAGGTGTACATTAAAGAAATTACTTTTTCATTTTTGTTTATGGATGAATGTGATGCGTCCATCTGTTAATTGAAATGTGAGGATTAAAATTATGAAACGTTAGCTCAGTCTGGCAAAGCTAAAATTGCTTCGCTTCGCTTCTTGGGTGAGTGAATTCTAGTCATCATCTTTTTAGTGCAAGCTATAGAAAGCTTAAGATACCTAGGAGGCGAAGGGTAATAGCCTGATAGTGAGCCTCACGCAATTCAGAAGGTTCCAGTTGGCCACATAACTTTCCTAACTGGTGTGAGATCAGCAGTTGAGAATGGGGGAAGGTACAAATAATATTTATTCTTCTGTTATGGGTATGTATCCCTGCCTTCTGTCTGCTGACAGTCTCATGAGGGAGAAGGGCTTTTTTTTTTTAAACCACAGTTGGTTCCCATTTTCGCTGGTCTAGTTTATACCTTTGAGTTATGCATGACAGTCTCTTCCAAGTGTCCATGAACTGCCTGTAGTTCTCAGGCCAAATTCAGCTTACTGCTCACTTTTTGTAAAGAAAGTTTTAATACAGTACTTGCCCTTGCTGGGTAGCTCGGTTGGTTAGGGCATCATCCTGATAACACCAATATTGCATGTTTAATCACCCATCGAAGCACATACAAGAATCAACCAATGAATGCACAAATAAGAACAGCAAGATGTTTTTCACCCTTTGTCTCTCTCTCAAAATTAATCTAAAAAATCACACAGTACTGCCTAAACAAACACAAACAGGTACGTGTAAAACCAGGGAAATCCGAATAAACTCTGTAAATTGCACCAGCATCAGTTTCCTGGTTGTGATATTATATTACAATACTACCATCAGGGGGAACTGGGTGAAGCATACACAAAATCTCCCTGTATACTGCATATGTATAAATGTAACATATATTAATGTATTTTTAACATATATATTTTTACTTCTTGTTAATCAGTATTTCAAAATAAAAAAATTAAATTAAAAACCAAGTTTTTGGGGGACACGGTCATATCCACTTGTTTGCAGATTGCCTGTGGCAGCCTTAGCCCACCAGTGGCGCAGTGGAAGAGTTGTGACAGTTGCATGGCCCACATGGCCCACAAAGTGACAAATATTTAGCATCTGGTCCTTTCCAGAAGAAATGTGTGAACCTCTGACCTGTGCCAGTGAGGGCGGTGTCCGACACTGAGCACCTGCAGTCAGCCAGCCCACGCTAAGCGCCTTCTCTGATATTAGGCGCAGTGGGACCACCCTGCAGCCCACATAAGACGTGTGCAAAGTAGGAACTTGGTATTATACATGGCCATATTATGTATGATGTAAGGAAAGTTTAAGTTGTGCCCAAAGTGCTTTCAGAGAGTGAAAAGGCGTACAAGCTATGAATTTGATGATTCAAGCAGTATGTGAAAATGGCACTAGAGGGATCCTGCAGAAGGATGATCAGCAACTCAGAGGTAGAAGGTTATGTGTCAGGGGTGGGGCGAAGAGTAGGGCAGAGGACAAATAACAAACTGTGAAAATACGCAATTAGAGGTCATCTGATGTAATGCCTTTGTTCTACACCCATTGCCCTCACTTTATATTTATGCATACTTCTGCACAGTGCTGATAATAGCAAAATAATAGCAGCAATTTACACTGTGCACCAGTTGCTCTTACATATATTAACTTTTTAAATCCTTACAACAGCCCTATGAGGTAGGTAATATTCTCATTTTATAGATGATGAAATCAAAGGCTAGAAAAATTAAGTGACTTACCCATCAGACTTCAGAGACTAACCTCTTTACTGCCGTGCCTCTCACTATCTACCTAAGTAGTCTGTGTTGCTCCACATCTAAAGTATGATCTTCTCAGGGGCAGGATTTATTCTGCCCATTCTCTGTATCCAGTCCCTCATACAGTGCTAAATGAATGAATTCATAAATATTGCATTTCAAATATGACTCTCACTAATTGTAAGCAAACTATTTTTTCCATATTAAGTACCTTCCTTTCTTTATAGAGTATGGAAGATCCCCAAATTACTCAGCTACAGATAGCTAGGGTGCCCAAATACTGAAAACAAAATAAACGAATTGCCAGACAGGGCACATGCCTGGGTGCAGGCCAGGTCCCTGGTGAGGGGTCCCTGAGAGGCAATCACACATTGATCATTGATGTTTCTTTCCTCGTCTTTCTCCTTCCCTTCTCCTCTTTAAAAATAAATAAAATATTTAAAAAGAAAAGAAACCAAAGGAATAGTCCGGCCTGTACAGATTACTTCATTCTCCTATAACCTGAAGTGTAAGATATAAAAAAAATGATAATTAGAAAAATGACAGAGAGGCTCTTCTAAGATCCTGAAGCATTAAAAAATAATCATAATAACAACTTATAGGCACATTAAGCAGTGACCACGTAGGAGACTTGGAAAGTCATTGACTGGTAAGGGGACGAGACCCAGAGGGTGAAGTGGAGCCTTCAAGGACACGTCACCCCTTAGAGGCGGCCGGCTGGCTTCTACAGACGTTTCAGTTCAAAGAATAAAGAGTTTCCAACTCCATTTTGAAAAGACTTCATTCAGAAGAATTATAAAAGAGATCCAGAAGGCTTTGGGGGCTTTTATTAAATTAAACCATTTCTCATAAGTTCTAATTACTAAAAAGGTTACTCTATTTTAAAGATAGAAGTCCCTGAAATTGTAACCTACTCTTCAGTCACTGTGATTTGCCTATTGTAATTTTTAAATCACATATAAAAGTTTGACATTTTTATGAATAACTGAAGATTTGAAAAAAAATATTACCTAAATATGTGTTTCTTAGGATCAGAAAGTCAATCTAAATGACTTTTCTTAATCTCCTGAACAATTTTTTCTACCCAGGCTTTTTCTATCCTTAGAAATTATCTTTACCCGAATAAGACCTCCTGTGCACAATACATAACCCAGCTCGACTGGCTGTGCATGTGCAGTGATGGTAATGGCCGTGGTGGTTGTTGGAGGAGGCTCACATTTACTGAGTTTCCCATGCGACATGTACTGAATCCAGCACATGACATGGACCCATATAATCTTCACGCAGACCCATGAGGAATACATGTTATTATGACCATTGTTTTGCAGATGAGGAAACCAGAGGTGGAGTCACCTGAACCAGTCCAGGGTCTGAGTTGGCAAGTACTGAGAGTCAAGATTTCATTAGGACACCAGCTTCTAGTTTCTTGTATTAGAGATTAGGCTATTTGGACCAACTCTTCCACTGAAAATGCTATTTGAAATAATTTTTAAATGATCTCAAATGTACTGAAGAGCTAAAAAGATGATGGGGAGTCTCAGGACAATTTTCAGATGGAGTCCTGCAACTGAGGAGGAAGCAGAATATTGTCGCACCAAAGCTCCGTACTCCCGAGGGCATGTTCCTGTGCCACAGCTGCGCCCTATTGCAGAGGGTCTTTCCCATATCAGGCTGAAAGCCTGAAGGACTTGTACTCAGCACGAGAGCAAACCAGAGCTAAAGTTGCCTCTCCTGTCCCAGTCCCAGCAAATGGAAAAGAAGGCTTCTTGGAAGTAGAAAAGCAGGTTAAAAAGGGAAAGGGGGAAAAGCTGAAGCCGTAGACTATCTAGCACAGATTTGCACCCTGGGTATTTGTATACGTGGCCTGAGTTGCAAAAGGAGCTTGCATCATGCTTAGAACTTGGTTTCAGGAGGGTGTGCCCATCTTAGGCCTCAGAGAACCTCTCCAACATTTTTTTCAAGAGCAAACTCTAGCAATTAGTTGAAGAAAACCAGGCACACTAGGGAGCGAAGCAACTTGACAAAGAACCAGCAGGGGCAGCAGACAGCAGAGACAGCTGCATGCAGACTTCAGGCCCCAAATTGCAAGCTATGTAGTACAACCACTAGATTAAAATTTAAAACTCACTGTTTGGTAGCACACTGGATAGAGCAGAAGAGAGGATTAGTGAGCTGAAAGACAGACCGGGTTACAGCAGTCTGACGTCAGAACCTTGCTTGGCCAGTGTGCCCTGCTACCCACTCAGGGATCTTTTCAGCCTAAAAAAAACTCCCCACAGTCTGATAACATATTTTGATTTCATACAAGCCTAAAATATTTTAGGCTGTATGCTGTCATAATTTTCTGAGTAGCTTAACAAAACAAATTCCTATATCAGAAGAGAGAAGGGATGTGCCTTGGTATTTTCCTGCTTTGGGCAAGTGAACTCTAGGGCATCGTGCTGTAAACAGAGACAGTTGTGGAATGAATTAACCAAATATGGGTTGGGACAAACGCCAGGTCACAGAGGGTGGTTGTAAGGAGTGAGTATGCCTGCCCGCTTGGAGCCGCCGCCCTTTGAAGACCCTCCATAAACTCTGCTTTTTACTCATCACCACTCCTTACTGTTATTGGTAAGAACAGACCAGGGTTTGGTCCCCTGGACACTTAACCTTCAGTGCGAGGCCCTTCAGATGAGAGTTGTGTTTTCCCTATTGTTCAGCTTTCCATGTCAGAAAGTGACCCAGCTTTAGCTTGCTCACTGCGAAGTGTCCATCAGAGATCTTCTACCACCAGTGTTGTACCTGTTTTGCTTTAAAGGGGAGAGACAGGCAAAGCCACCTTGGCCTCAGGTGTGAAGGCAGCTTTGAATTTTCCAGCCTCGGGCCACCAACTCCTGGCTTCATAAATCTAGAATGTACTGGAGCCTAACTTGCGGCTGTGTCAGATTCAGGGTCCTGAGCTCATTGCCCAGTCCCTTCCCCTGTGTGAATCTTTAGGGCAGACCTGAAGAGCTGGCTTTGCTGTGCGCTTGTGCTTCAGTACCACCACATCACAACAGTAATCTTGGTTTGTTAGCTACTTGTAAGAGTGATGTCTCTACTGACAGGTTGTCAGAATCGTGTCCTTTAGCTAGTTCTCTTATTTGCCACCTGATATCTGTGACCATTATCAACTTTTTTCTTTTTTAATGTAATTTTTCTGCGTATGCTTTATTTTCAGCTAACAGATTGCACTTGTTTGGCTGTTCTGTGAGCAAATCTTATGAATGTGTTTAATATTACTGTTGGTCCTGCCAACAGTAATATAAAATTATTTTGTGTGTGGGTTCCACTTTTATTTGTTGTCTGTACTCTGCCTGAAGTACTATATACTGAAAACTGTCAGAGAGTGGAATGAAGGAAGGAGAGGCAAGGAAGAAGAGACCAGGAGAAAGGCCACATTTGGCCATTTCTTTAAGAATTCTAGAGGACTTTAGGACTGTCATGTTTGCCAGAAGTTCTTGATGGACATGAATGGCAATATGAGGGGAGTTACATTAGCAGAGCACTCCAGGGAACATCCAGTAGTAACTAGTTCATACTCAAAACCAAATGTGCAGTAAGCATGTATGCATGTCTTCAGTCAGCACACATTGGTCATGCACCAGCCATGTGCCGGGCATGAAACCAGCTGTGAGATGAATAAGACACTCTCCTTGCCGAGTAAGAGAAACACACTAGCAAATGGATGGTTACAACACAGTACAATAAATTAACATTAAAGTTACAAACAACTTTTTAATGAAGTTCAGCAGCAGGAATTTGTCATGCTCCCTGAGGAGTAGAGGAAGTTTTCACCAAAGAAAGGTGGCCCGTGACTAGGGCCCATAGGAGAAACATCCACTAAGCAGAAAAGAGGAAGGTAGGTCATTGCCTCTGCAGGGAACATGAAAATATTTAGTGACTAGAGCTGAGTGTACCCAAGAATCACCCAGCGAAATTATTTTTTAAAATGAAGATCCCCAGAGCCCCGCCAGAGACTCTGATTCTGGAGGTTCATTTGTAATAAGCACCTCAGGCAGTTCCGTGGTGGCTAGTCTGAAGACTGCATTTTGAGAAATACCGACCAGATCCACACCAGCATGTGGCTTTTCTGACAGCCAGCTCCGGGGCGGTTCGCCACCCTGGAAAGAACCCTGCTACCGCAAGCAGACATACCAGGGTGTGAGGCCTGGCTCTGTTCCTGCACAGTGCACTGCATGCCAGCCCACAGCTGTGCACCCGGCTAGTCAGTTCATTCACTCAGCCTCAGTGTTTGTATCTGTAAAGGGAGAGCAGTGTAAGTAACTTCGCAAGATTTTTCTGAAGTGTAGAGTATGCAAAGTATCTAGCTCAGAGTTGGGTACATGTCGTACTAGGTGGCAATTAAGTGATAACTATTGCCCTCCTTATATAAAGGCCATGAATTAAACCTCTCTGTGCCCCATTTTTCTCATCTGTTAAATGGGGATGATAATAGCACCAATCTACATATTTATGAATTTGAAGTAAGACATGCATGAAAAGCTGTTAAACTGATGCCTAGCACATGGAAAGTCTTCAATAAATGCACAGTGATATTCTTAATATCGGTGATGAAGATGGTGTTACTCCTTTAACTAGCTGCCTAGTTCCTTATGAATACATCCTAGAATCTACTGAACTAGCAAGAATTGGATAGTGGGTGCATTCGTACATGAACAGGAAACTTGAGAGATGATGAGTGTGGGGGATTAGAACACAAAGGAGAAAGTGGTGGGGGACTGGAATGACCATGTCTATTAGCAGCTGAGAGAAATGGTCACATGATCCATGGCCCTTGGGAAGAATTATTCTTGGTAGGAAAGGGGTTTTACAAATTAAAGAAATAAATAAAGGAAGGAAAATAAGACAATCCATCTTCTACCTCAGGGCAGGGTTTTATGTAATTTTATGGAAAGTGGTCCCAGGAGAAGTCAGTAAGTACATGGAGGTAGCCTGGTAGGTGGGAGTGGGGAGGCAGTTACAAAGTTTTGGGTCCCCACTAAGCCAACCCCCCAAAATGCAGGACTGCACCAACTCACCTGAGAAAGTCTGACCCACATCTTCCATGCCCCCGGTGTAGCTTCTGCTTGTGAACAGGGACGCCCACTTCCTCCATCTCCAGTGGAGCGTGCTGACCCCGACCCCGTTCCTTTTAAAGGACTTGCATAAGATCGCCTGAAGGGTGCAGACTATGGTGGCTGCCAGAAACTCCAGGGACGGCACAGAGAATATAATGCTGCCCTGAGGGGTCCAAGAGATGTGGGTTATGATCCCAGCCCTGCTCCGCTTAGCTCTGTAACTGTAAGCAACCATTCCACCTCCACGAGACTTACTCATTGTTCCTGTGGTCATTCAAAAGACCACTGTGAAATACTCCACTGAGCCAAATCCTGGAGAGCCGGAGAGAACAGGCAGGAGGCACCCACTTCAGGATAAATCATTCTGTTGAAGTCAAGACTGCGCAGGTACCAATTTTCTAGCCCAGGTATTTGCTACACATCTTGAACGGAGGACCTCCAGTCCCAAACGGACTTTTCGAACTGTTCATTCATGTCAACAGACACCCTAGTACATGGAATAAAATGTTAAAACAGGTGAATCTGGGCAGAGGAAATTTGAGTGATCTTTGTGCTCATCTTAATCTTTCAATGTTCCTAAAATGTTAAAGTATTTCCAAATAAAAAGATTTTTAAAATTTAAAGTGAAAGAATTTCTAGCGATCCACACCCATCTCTCAAAATGCAAATAAGTGATAACATATAATGCTGTGTAATTTGTCACTGCACAACTAAGACCCCAACATCTAGAGTGAGAGGACCTGGATTCAAGTCTTAAGTCATTCCCCAGCCTAGGACTTTGTCTCAGTGTCTTCACTAATCTGAACCTGCATTTTCTTCACCTGTAGAATAAAGATAAGGTTTTCCTCAAAGGAACTTTGTGAGGATTCAGTGAGGTTGGAATTATTTATAATCCATATAATTTCTATATTTTATCTACATAACACACGTCATATAAAATTACTTCGTCCTCCATAAAGTGCCGTGCGGATGTTGCAGTACAGCACTTTATGCCGTAGCTGGGCCATGCCAGCGAGTGTCATTCCTGGGGTAGCTCACATCCACTCACGAGCTCCCTTCTGTTTTCTTACAGCCTGAAAGAATTTCAGGGGAGCAGTATGGAATCCATTCTGATGTATGGAGCTTAGGAATCTCTTTCATGGAGGTAGGTGTTTTGTAAGTAGATGTTTTTATGTATATCTGTAGCAATAGGAGGGGGAACCCCAAAAGTGTAATTACCTTCTGGAGGGTGCGCCCCTTCCAGGTGAGTGTTCTAGGAACCCATCTGTATCAGTGTACCAACTGGTGTTGTTGTGAGAGGCTGCTTTCAGTGTCAGTGAAATTTTTTATAAGATTCTTTCAAGGCATTTGCCCATTTCATGGTGGGTCTACAAACGTACTTGCCCATACTATGCTGAGTGTTCAACACTTTTTGACCAAAAACAGCATGACCCCCATGCCACATTCTCCCTATTCACCCAATCTCACCTTTAGCTACTTTTTTTGTTTCCCGGGATTTAAAAACTAAAATCTCCAGTTACGTATACATGTGTGTCCACAGAGTTTAAAGTCGTAATTTTGATATCCTTGCAAGGCTTGTGAGCCAACTATTCTAAAGTGCTGTTTCTCACAGATGACCTATATAAAAGTTAACCTAGAGTGCTTCTTAAAAATACAGCTTTCCAGACTCCATCCAAGACCAATTAAGTTCGTATCACTAGAAATCTGCATTATTAACATGTTCCACAAATCTGGAGACCCTGTGTTCTCAAAGAGAGAGTTCAGAAAAATTCTGTGGTGGTCGCCTGGCTGGAATACCTATATAACCTCCCAAGGTGATTACTTTTAAGAGCACAGCCGTACTCATTTGGATGTATAATTGTATATGGTTGTTTAGAAAGGAAAAAAACCACCTTGTTCCAGCATATTCATATCATACGTTGCCAAAGGGGGTATCATCTGATCTGGGGGAGGATAATGGGTATGTATTTGACATGATTTAGTGTCTTTACTCTTCATAGCTATATTTAGAGTGGGTTTTGTCTCAGTGTGCTACTTGTAGCCTCACTAGAATTCCACGAAGGTTTCTAAACCATGGCCCTTGAGGAAATGTGGACAGTTTAGATGGGAAGAGCAGCTGGGTTGATGTGGGTCACCATGTGACGGAATCTGCATACTCACAAATGCTTCAAGACTTGTTTCTCACATACATCGACTCGGGTATAGGAAGACTTTAAAAAGTAGAAAAGACTGCTTAAATAAGATCATGGATAGTGTTGCATTCACGCTTTTATCACCTTTTTTTGGTCAAGTGCTTTATCTGTGATTTTCGTAATGCACAAATGCAGCTGAATTTGTTAGGGAATATCTTCGGATTCAATTCACTGGCACGATGGAAAGAAAGCAAAAATGAAGTAGTCAGTGTTCATTAAACTATATTCTTCTACTTCTTCATAAGAGGTCATCTAAGAGAAAATTTGATATGTGTGCATCAGCTTATTGGTTAGCCATGATAGTGGACGGATGCTCAAAACTGAGTCTCCCAACAGAATACTGAAGGGATTGTTCCATTCCCCTGCTTTGGGGGACATTCAGGCCTTGCTGTTATATAGTTTCCCTTTGCCTGGGTTAAATCATTGTCACCGAGTGTGTTTAATGAATGACCAGATAGAGCGCAGCACACTCGTGGCATTGCACGAATAGAGATATGAACCCTGGATTAGGAACGGAAGACCGAGATTGCAGTTCCAGCTTTACCACCGGTTTTCTGGGGCCTGTGCAAACCTCGCTTTGGCCCTCAGCTTCCTTACCTGTAAAGTAATGCTCTGTAAGCCCCTTTCCAGACTAACGTTCTTTGACTCTAAGCAGTCTGCTGTTGTGTCTCTTGAACCTGCTGCAACAACTCTAGCATTGCATGACTAGACAGTGTATACCCCAGCACGGTGTAATCTGCGGAGGCATAGCAGTACTGTGTGGGAGCATAACTGATAGGTTTCAGATTCAGAGCACGTGTAAATATTTACCATTCACTCCTTCCACAGTTACCTTTTCTTTCCCATATTGAGGTTCTGCTATGCCTACTGATAGGCAACGTGGATATGGGACTAAACGGACATCCCAGACTTTACTCTCATGGAGCTGCGTTTGTCAAGGGGTGGGGTGTGAGGAAAAAGAAAAAAAAACATTTGCTGTTCCACCGATCCATGGATTCACTGGTTGATTCTTGTATGTGCCCCGACCAGGGATCAAACCCACAACCTCTGCCTGTGGGAACGATGCCCTAACCAACTGAGCTATCCGGTCAGGGCCTGTTTGTCCTCACTTTTAAAAACAAGATTCCCTTCCTATGTTTGCACTCTGAAGAATATATTATATTCACTCATTCAGTAATAATTATTTTAGCAATTGTCACATGCTAGGCCTTGGAGAGTGGCGCACGCAAAGCTGACAAAAGCTGCCTCTGACAGAAGACAGACACCTAACACCCCGAACAGTGTGACAAGGTTTCAGGAGGACGTGTGTGGAGGGCTTGGAGACGTAGACGGTGGGTGGGTGAAGCGACTCTCAAAGGAGTTGACGGTTGGGTTGGGTTGGTCTAGAGGGGAGTTTGCCATGGGGAGAGAGAAGGAAAAGATGGAGGAGCCCTGCCCCCAGCACTCTCTAAGGTGGGTCTCTGTAAACCCTCAGGGGAGATCACCTGTCAAAATGTGCAAGGCCTCAAGTAGGCCTTTTACTGCCTGTTCTTGTGGATGCCTTCCTCCAAGTGTTTTAACTCAATCAGTTTATTCCTCAAAGGTGCTAGGGGTAAAGAGAAAAATAGGATGAAACTGCAGGAAACTGAGCAAAGGAGTTTTCCTGAGATGGCACAAGAATCAGATAGAGGCAAAATGGGAACCAGAGTTTTCTACCTCCACCTAGCAACCCCCCGCCTCCACCCCCGCAATTTCATAAGCTCGTGACCCATCCCTGAGGTTTGGTGGTGCAGAAATCAGAAGGTTGCCTTCACTGTTTTAAACTCCCAACATAACGAGGTTCACCCCCTGCTTGCCTGCTTCAAACTGCCTCTTCCCGTGTTAATGTGCTGCCACTGTCCCCATGGGGAGTCATAACAAGGCCTTTCGCCACACTCTCATAAAAGATGGTGCTGCATGTCACTAAAATGTGCCATTTAAAAAGTCACAGACAGGTACATTTGTGCCTTAAGCAAAGAACCTTTCATATCAGGCTGTCTGTTATCTAGGGACAGAAATGCCCCGTCTCCGCAGTTCGGCATCCCTCTGTTCGTGAGATGAAGTGGATCTCTTCCAGAACCTTGTCAGCTGTGTGCAGTATTTGGAGTTGGCAGCAGTAACATGAAAGTGGAAATTGCCCTTTAGAGGGGGAAAAATGAGATTATTCAGCTTGACTAGAGTAGGGAAGAATTTAGCCCCTTTCTATGTGTTTGGTTTATGGTTTTCAACTCAGATGTTTAGATGTGTTGTAGTTCTTGTGTGGATTAGTTATGGAAATATATGTGCCACTGGGCAGGCTCACACTGTAATGGGGAGAAGAACGCAGCTGGACTTGAACCTTTTCCTTGAACCTTCATGATAGGAATTAGTATGGAAATCCAAAAGAAAAAAGAAGTAAGACCCACTAACAAGGGTACCAAATTCCTGAAGTAGGACAAACTGGGAGGATTAATCCTGGCCCCAGAATTTTTGACTCTTCTGGGAAGCTCATAATGGTTCAGTGGACTCAGTCTGTTCACCCTGCTGGTTGCTACGCAAGACTTCAGAGCTAAACTTTAAAATGAAAATGAGTGTGGTACACAGTAAGGGCTTTGTTTTACCAAGTTTGATGATTTTATTTAATTCTTCAGGGTGGGCAAAAGATTTTAAGGCACAATTTCTTAATTTCATGGGAAGCTCAGTGTTTCTTTCTTAGCCCACAGTGTTTCGAGGCGGGAGTCGCACTGTTGTGTTTCACTGCTCAGTCACTGGTGGATGTTTCTGTGTCACTGGAGTCACAACAGATCTGTGGGTGGGAGGCAAACAGTCATAGTTGTAAAAGCTAGGTTTTTAGTTGGCCTTTCTTGGGTCAAAACATAAGTGAACCGTACACCCTTCTCTGGCCTTGCATTTGCAGTACCCAGGACAATGTATATACACTTAAAAAGGCACCAGGCCAGTCCTGTAATGTTCTTAGTATGCTCTACAAGTTCATGTGTTCTGGTGTGCGGTTCCGTCTGGTGTGTTGTTGTAAACCCTGTTAAGATTGGCGGTGGGTAACCTTCTGACAGGCTTTCCCACAGGAGCCCCACGGAAAGCCCCGTCTTTAGCACGTGCGTTTTGCTCTTTTCACTTGGGTCCTTGCTCTTTCTGCCCTTGTTTGCCTTCTCTCTCTGTCAGTCTCTCGAGTCCGAGACGCAGAACAATCCAGCTCGATGTGTTTGGTTAATTGGAGTGTCATCCAGTCCTCTGAGACCCCTCTTCGGCATGATCACCGTTTCATTGAAGTGGTTTGAATGATGTGTTAAATGATGAAAGCAAGGCCCATGGCTTAGAAAGATATCTCTAGATAGGTGAAGAGCACACTCAGGAAGCCAGAAAAGGTCATTGTCATCAAAGTAACACCATCTTCCGAAGATTTCAGTGGGTTCTATTATTTTGACAGAGGTTTTTCTTGTGAATTTTAGAATTAACCTTTACCAAATTAAAAATAAATCCATGGAATAACTACTGTGCTGTTCACTGTACATGGAATACATTTTTTTCTTCATCTCCTTAAGATTTAAGTACCCATACTTCATGAGTCCAACCCTGATCTCTCCAGCTGCAAATACTGTCTTCTGACCTTCCTCCACATCTTCACTGTGGCGTGTAGATTGTGTTGTAATTATGTCATGCCTCCTTATGATCGGGTTCACGTGGATTCTCTCCAACTTTCCTGCACTCTATAGCGCAGTTCCACTGCCCTAGTGGGTACTCATTCAGAAAAGTCTTTTTGGCTCAGTATTTTTTCATACTTTTATAATGGTTTTAAAGCAGTTTCTAAAAATAAAGATCAGAGTTTAATATTTGATTGGAGCCATTGACAGAAATGCCCATTAATGTTTGCTAAGTCAATCACAAATGTTTGCGTGTGAAGAAGGGCTTTGTGTTTGCCAAAGGAGCAGACCTAGAT